TCGGTATCGGAAATTGAGAGTTGGACAATATCGGAATATCGGATATCGGCAGAAAAGCCAATATCGAGCATCCCTACTTAAAAGTGGGGTCAGTCATTTTGGAGAGTGCTGATTGTTGCACCTCATTCCCAGGTCACAAAATACTGACACTTTGTATTTCAATGAGACTGAACTATCAACTATCTTTCTCCATAATAACTGACCCCACCTTTAAGGGAAATATCCCAACTCTAAAAAAGTTAAAACTACAGCAAGACTTGTACTGCAGTATAAAGAAAAACTTCAGTCCAACACGTTTCAGCGTGTGCTCTTTATCAGGGTCACTCTGCCTCTTCAGAAGTTCACACTCTGTCTACAGTCTTACCTCTGCACACCTGGCCAATCGTTACATGAAGCATTGGACTGTTGGTTTTGGATAGTTACAGAATGTTTGGACACTTTTCAACCATTTGACAAGCTGAATCATACTAGCCCCTTTACTCCCAGTCAGTCATAAATTGTGTGTCTTTGTCGGAGGAATTAACAATCTTTAAAATGAAACACTGCATGAGTTAACTTAATTCAACCAGTTAGCTGCTTTGATACTGATTAATAAAATCTAGCTCACGAGGCAGCTTAGCTAGCAGGATGACTAGCTGCGTAGCATATGCATATAGTAAATAGGTCAGTTTCTGAGTTCATTTCTGTCTATGTACTATGTAATTTACAGCAGAAGCTAGTTGGTTGATTCAGAATAATGTTAGCATTGTTGTGGCTCTAGCTAAGAGGAGCTAAACGTGGAAGCAGTTGTTGAGCTTGCTGAAGAAAAGCAGGGCAAATGTGATTGGGTGAAAGATGAGAGGGTGGTGAGAACATTGCCTTGAAAAATGTACACAATAAAAAAAGTGTCATTGTAAAATAAACTCAACTAAAACATTGTTGAAAGTAAATAAGAATATTGAAATACTATTTCAAAATAATGATTTGACCTTAATGTCCTAAATTATGTTCCAATTTACAGTTGTATTGAAATATTTCCTCAATTTAATTAAATTGTAATTTATTATAATTCATTTATAATTTATTTAACACTTCGTTGCTCCATACTACAGTACTTACATAAACAGATAAAATTGTGATTGATTTTCTTTTGACAATGGCTTCTCCCTAAGCTCACCCTCAGTGTTATTGCTGGATTAAAGTTTAGGCATTAAGTACACTTAAGCACTAAGTACTTTACACTTGCTGCTCAGGGGAGGTTCTTTATAAGTCTACCAACACAAAATAGTTATATTTGACATCTTAGTGGAGAGGCATGCTATCCACCCTGAGCTTTTAGTCCCTGCAGATACAGTATAAAATGTCTCTATAAAAAGCAGAAAAGTACATTTATGTAAGTTTGCTTTGGCAAAATGTTAATATTTAAGGTTTGTTTTATTCTGATGCTAATAGGGAACTATAGGCGGGGTCCTGAATAAACTATTCATTAGAGTGCTGGCCTGTCAACACTCCTAAGAATGTCTTACATTTACATCCAACTTTAATGGGCAGCTCTTTGGTACAGTGTTGATGCTAAAACAGAATATGCAATATGTTTTTGTACACACTACATGCTGTCATGAATTATGTCCCAAATGACAAGTTACAGGCACTTTGTCTTTGTTTACAGTGGTTGGAGCCAATCTTTTAGTTTTTTAATTGACTGTAGCTTGTGTTTAGCGTCTTGCCACCTCTCTAGTTTGCAAACCCATTAAACATGTCTGCAGAAGCAAACATTTTTAATTTACTCTTTAATTTGTTTCATTTCCATTGCTTACTACTCTGTCTATGTGATTCAACTGTATGTGGACTGAAAAAGGGAGCTGCATTTGCACTTTTTACTGCATCTTTCACCACGTCTGGGGGTCTCTCTGATGGGATCTTCAGTGAATTTTAATGGATTTCAGTCTATCTGGATATAGTTTTCATAGGATTGCACCTGGCATCTTTTGAGAGCTCTTTCTACCAAGACGTTTATATTTGACTCCTTTCTGGGCTGAGCTGAAAGGAACTCATCTTGGACTTGACTAACAAATTAAAGTAGGTTGTTTGAATTCACAACTGGCTAGCCTGTGGGGCCGTTCTGTTTCAAACTATAATTCATGGATTCATAGCCCTGGAACATGATAACTGCCTTTCACTCAATCTGCTCTGCATTTCCATTCATTTGCTGAGCTTTCAAGCTGCCAAATTACTCACTCCTTTTCTCTGCTGGAAACATTTTAATCTTCAAAAACATCACCTTCAGCATAATTATGTCTCTGTTACACCAAAAGCAGAGGGGACAGAGTGGGGGTTTGTCCGAGCTTTGCCCACATGTGATATCCCTAATAACATGGATATAATGAAAGGCTACTTGTTATACTCCAACATCAAAAGCTATTGTCTAAATTTGGCCAGCGGGATGTGACAAATCCGTAATTAAAATAGCAAGCTGAGTGATAAAACAAAGCCACTTGCTGGGAGACAGCGGATCCAGCTAGATATGGATCTGTCATTAGGCTAAAGAATTGGCCTTTTCTGCCCTTATCTTCCTAATGCGGCTACATTTCCCCAGGATTGGGCTTTTTCAGCTTGGTGTGGAAGAAGAGAGAGAGAGAGAGAGAGAGAGAAAAAAAAAAGCTCAGTCACGCCTCGCCTGTTTACCGCAACGAAAGTCGAGGTCACCGGTTCGTATAGGCGATGAACCAATTGCATGACAGCGCTTTATGTTTTTAAATTGCCATCAAAAATAAACTGTGCTAACACTTTTCTTGTAATGCCCCCAATCTCTGGAGCTTGTTTACAACTGCACGTGTACAGGTTCAACTAGAGGGCAACTACAATTGGATGATATTTATGTTATTTGTTCATGTTTTTTCCTGCAGCGAGGGAATGACAGCAGCACTTCTACTGTTTTTTTCTGAGAGCCAAGATACTGTGTGCTTAGTCTTTCCTCTGGAACTATTAAACTGATGGTACAATATATATATATATATTTGCCAAGATTGACTTGAAGATCAAACACTCATGAATAATACATCTGGTAATGCACACTAGAATCACTGGTGTGAGCTCAGCAGCAGGCGAATTTCCCATCACATGCAGCTGTTTTAAGAGAAGCCAGGCATGGCAGAGAGCAGCAACAGACCGTTCCGCCTCCTTCTCCACTTTACTGTTATTGTTGGAGCTGATTTCAAAATGCGCAGAGCCCGACAACAAGGAACACTATAAATTACCCAGAAGACTGGTGGTGGACGCAGGCTGGGACTGACCACCACATTAGTGAACTCCTGATGGACATAGGTACGGAGAAGTGTGGGTGTGCTGCTGGACGGAGTAGGGAGGTGTGTGTGTGCATGTATGCACGTGTGTGAGACACCCTGGCAGCAAGCTATTCTCCTGGACAAGAAGCTTTCAAGTAAATGAATGAATACATTATGGATTGGTGGCTGAGCATCAATAAAGCAGCCATACTGTATCTGAGTGAAGTGAAGGTCTTTGTTTGACACGTGAAGCTGCAGGATGGTCAGGCTGAGCAAGGCCAGCAGGACAATGGGGACCCCAAGGGGCCGCCAGTGGCACCCAAGGGACCCCTGAAAGAAGACTCATATCAAACCATAGCGGAGTTGGAGGGAAATACGGCTGCATCCACACACACGCACAGATTCATTTTCTCTGTCATACACCTACACACATACTGTAGATATACACACAGATACACAGACATTTCCTTTGCCTGTGTATGTATCCTGGGGGGAAAAAATACATTCATATTCAGTGAATGATCGGCAGAGGCAGGAGCCGTTCGGAGCCATTTTGTTTTTCCGGCCGATGGCAGAAAGCAGTAGCCATTACGACCTTGTGATGAATTCAGGGTTCATTTCCTTCTGTTTCCTTCTTCCATGCATGCACATAGAATTAAATCTAAAAAAAGATGAGGGATGCAGCATTCGGAGAGGGAGAGAACACTCGGTAAAGCCAACATCAAAGCTGCCATGGTGAACATCCATGGTCTGATTTACTCCAGGTGTACGGTAATTGGGAGAAAGTTTCATTTGTGCCCACTGTCATTTATTCATTAGCTCGCAATCAGATATCCTGTGCAAGGCTTGAGACGTTATAAATCAGTCACCGGCTGGCCATTAACAATTCATGTAATTCATAATACATAAGAGCCGTCATTTATTTATTTATCACCTCTAAATGGGATTTCCTTCATTCTCACTGGCTCCAACTCAGAAGTCAACTTCTGTTAGCCTGACCAACGGCCATTTTGAGGGCGACCCAAGATGTAAACAGTGTAGATCTAAGCTGAAGGGGACCACGATAGCCTGATCTCACTGTGGAGAAGAGTCTTCTCTCTGACTAAATCTAGCTGGTTTGACTAGTATCATCTGGAAGGGAAGCAGCAGGCACCAGGCTGCGGCTGGCTGCTGGCACAGTTGTTTTCTGCTGATTCTCTCGAGCAGTTGATGTAATTGTGAGTAATTAGGCCTTAAAGTGGTCTTGTCTTTCTCCAACCTGGAACATGAGTCCCAAGGGAGAGTGTGTGAGTGAGGTTGGGGGCTGTCTGAACACCAGTAGCTGGTATACAGAAGGCTGCTTTTGTCTAAACAGATCCTATATAAAGCCGGTGGAACTGTGTCACCAGATGCTGACACCATATGATCACACTGACACTAAATTATACTTTTGCCCAGAGGGTCCCAGCACTTCTCATTGTAAAGACAAACAGCAAGTTACAATGGAGATGCAACAGCCAGAATGAGCCTTGTTTGATATCTGGCTCTCTGACCAGATACTGCAATTCTCTTTACAGTACATCACATTCTGTGGGAGTTTCTTAAGAGCCTTACAGTTGGAGTATATTTGTTGAACAAAAATGGTTCAAGAGTCCATTTGTATCTCCATAAAAGAAGGTCAAATACCGTGTAATGTTCACCAGTAGTAAGGAGGGATACACTGCCGTGACAAAGGAGTGGTAACAAATAGAAACTTACGGGTGGCTGGCTTGTTGCAGTTGTGTCCATGTCTGAAGTACTGAGGATTCTCCACCACAGGAATACGAGTCATCCCTATGACAACCGCATCAGGACCCGCGTCCAGAGTACAGGGGGTAATAATCCCATGGTTGACATGATGAAGAGGGCTGGCAGAGTCTTCCTCACCACTGATCACAGCTACTGGACCTGGAGTGAGACAGGGGGATGACGAGTTATTACACAGTGTAACCATGGAGCTCAAGTGAAGCTTAGCTTTTCTGTGATACTGTTTGTCTGTGCCATTGTTCCATATAAGAACATACTGTACTGGGATATAAAGCCTTCCTCTAATAAAAGATGTGTTTTGTCATTGTGACAATTATGTCATTGTTACCGTGATGTTTGTGCAGAGGGTTGTTTTCACATACATTTGCTGAAAGGGGAAGTTATTCTGTATGTCTTAAAACCCATGTGGAGGAGATCTTTAACTAATAGTCCACAAGTCAGTTTAATCAAATGAGATATGGGTAACTGTTGGGGAGGTTTGTGGTTGGTTTTCAGTTTTCAGCCACTGGCCAGTGAAAATAGAGTTACAGTAGTGGCACCTAGATGGTGCAAATGACTTCTTGTTTCTATCTGAGCCTACCCATAATAACTCAAATTTGGTATCAAGATATGGAAATGAAAGAACTAAATATTTTTAAGGTGGATTAACAGTGGTTTCATCAACACAGCAAAATAATGAAAATGTAATAAAAGAGAAACAAAAAGACATGCAGTTTTTGTTATGTAGAAACCTTACTCTGATTAACTTATATTAGAATGAATTGACAGGTATCAACAAATCTTTACACACGAAGAGCACATGTAGAGTTTTGTCAACGGTAGGAATTTAAAAACAATGTCATTTAAAATACCTTTATCTATCTTTTATCAAATGATAGAAATTACACAGTTGGTGTGTTTCTGGAGCCAAATCCTTAGTTTGAATTTGTCAAACAGTGTCAAAATCAAATGCCAAATTTGTCGTGTATCCAAATATTCATTTGTTTAAAGCTTGACAGAAAATGACCCTGCAGCTATTTTGATAATCGATTAATATGCAGTTTTTTAAGCAAAAATGCCCAAGCTTCCTCTTTATTTGATATTATTTCAATTCATGTTTGTATCTTTGAGTTATGGAGTATAAATCTGGCAATTTTAATATTCAAGAATTCAATGTTGTTTAATATTATTTTACAATGCAGGGTTGTTAATGAAGTTCAGCATTGAGTTGCCTTTAAAAGCTACTTGCAAACAAATTTATTATATACACACAAAATGATTACATACAACTGATTAATACAATAATACTGATATATAATATATATATATATATATATGTTACCTCAGACTCTTGGAAATTGTAATTGGCATAAAAACATAATTAAAAAAAAGTAATTTGCAGATGACTAATAATGAAAATAATCATTATTTGCAGCACATGCAATCAGGAGAGAACATCCTTTCATCCAGTCCTTCCTGTATTAAGTCTATAAAATTAGTTACTACATCAATACAATACACAACAATAATTTCCTTTCCTTTCTAAATATAAAAAAAAAAGTCCCAAACATGATGTACTGTCAGTCAATGTGATCCTGTTCTATCACTGCTGTATCAAAAGCAACACAACAATCTTCAGGGGGAGGGAGAAGAGAAGGAGGGAAGGGTGAGGAACAGCAAGTAGATATAAAGTCAACAGCCAGTCGCTGATTCAGTGGAGCTCTGACTGTTTACCCACAGAGTGGAGTCTCTCGTTCACCTTGACAACATAGTAAATAGTAATCAAGACCCAGTCATATCAAATTATAGACCCTGAGCTGCAGGGGGTGGGGGGTGACGAAGTGACACATGTGAGCAGCAATTTATTTACAACATTTGCTCTTAGACAAGGTTTTCATACCTGAGCACCCGTTTTATTGGAGAGATGTGCACAGCAGAGCGCAGGCCATCACTGGGCGCCTACCTACCCAACCACTGGGGACAAGTGGCACAATGCAGCCCTAAATCTTTGCTGATGCCTCTGACCCTCCACTACACAGCACAGACAGAAAGATATATATGAGTACTGCCTGAAATATCACCACACTTGAAATAAAATCATTACATAGAAAGTCATGATGAGTCATGGGCAAAAGTCTTTAAAAAATGAGAAAAGATACCTCAAAAGGAGCCTAGTATTATGTTCTGCTTTTTAATATAATATGAAATAGAATGAAAACCTGTCTGATCAGACTCCAGAGCCAGATCGATGAGGCCTCGGGGAACGCCTGGCCTCGCTCCAAACCGCAGCACTGAAAACTACACAAAAACCTCCCACTTGATTCTTTGGGAGATTAAGGTTTTCTGAGGAGTGAAGGGGAAATTGGACTTCTTGACTTCAGAACATCCTAAAAATTGCATTTATGTTACCTGAGTGATGAAAAGGCCCAACGGCCTGTGAGAGGGTTTTTATCATCTGAGACGTTTGCTGCGCACAGAATGGAATTCAACGCTGGACATTTTCCCCCAAAATGTCTATCTGAGAGTAAAGTTCCTCTCTATTAAACTAACTTTGATTTATTCAGCCAAACTGGAAAATGAAATGAGCCAACTTTCAGCTATTTTTCAACTCTTTTCATGTCTCATCCCTTTCACAACTTTTTTGTTGTAGTAATATGGTTCATAAGGTAAATTCAGCCATGCACTGTCTAATTCAGACCTTGACTCAGCACTATGGATGTTTTTTTTCAGTTCTAATTTTTCTATTCCTCAAGTTACTAACAGTCTTATGACATGCACGTGTAATACTAAATATGTAACATCCACTTATACCTTCAAACCACCTTATCATGCATGGATTCTGATACTAAAGTCCATTTGTCTATATTCATCTACCCTGCAATGTATGACAAGAGTTGTAATTTGCTTTCTTGAGAAGACAGATACCACGTTGCCAATTTTTATCTTACTATTATTGTGGCTAAAATTATGATGTCTTCTACTTCACTGTAAGTCCATTCTCAGTGCATGTGCAGTGAGCACAGAGAAACTTTCCACTTTCAGCAGATGAATGTGAAAACATCCTTCTGGTGTCAAGCTCTGCACAGACATCATTCTGCACAGTGAAGCTCAAACATCACACTGTATGAACAAGGAATTGATTTATTTTTTGAGTAGAGGGGGGCTTTAATAATTGTAAACAAAGCACAAAATCCTGCACACTATCGACTCCTTGTACTACCTTAATTCACGGTATGGTATGATAGCACATTGTATCTCACATTTAATCTGTACAATAACCAAAGTATATGAAGAGGTGGGGGCAGATTTTTTTTTAACCTTTGGCCAGAGTCAGAATAGCTGTTTCCCTGTTTCCAGCCTTTATGCTAAGCTAAGCTAACTGGCTCTTGAGAAGCTTCATATTTACTGTACAGACATGAGAGCGCCATTTAGCTTCTAATCTTACCCTCAGCAACAAAGTGAATAAGTACATTAAGCAAAATGTCAATCATTTGAGAATGTATAGAACACAAGCTGTTAAGTCAAATAGTTTCAATAATTCAATACTTTTTTATCATTAAAATTAAACTGGTTCTCAGCCTCTTGCACAGCTACATCTCACACACAAGTTGGCAAGAATGCAATTGATCATCAAAGGACATGCCACCATGGGCAAAAAATCATTCATTTATCATGTTCAGAGTAACATACACCAGTTTGTCCAGGGATTCCTTCTGGAAAAGTCTTAGATCACTGTGGCGTGCCGTCGTTTGAAGATTAGTTAAATCTCATTGCTCTCATCCTTCTATGCTTTGCAAGCCAATATGTTTCTCCAGCAAACATCCCTTTACTTTTCTGTAGGAAATATGTCACTCCAGCTGCAATTCCCCTATTATTTTCAGGGATGTCATTTCGGTCGGCATTACTCAATGTTCCTTCACGTAACCTTCTGCAATCCCAGTGCAGCAAATGTTTTATGTTTATGTAAGGTGCAGTTCGCAGGTACATTAGCTAATTCAGCCAAATCAATTGATCAAGTGTGACATTTGCATCATCTGTTTCTCTGAGTTTAGAAGTCAATCTAATTTACTCTACAGGAGCAGAGGCTTCACTGCCTTTCCCTCCTGGGTTTTAAAATGGAGTCGTTCATTAAGGTATTGTCCAAGTGCTGGGCCAGCAGGTCCATCTGTGGGCCAGGCCTCAGTGATGAATTAAATGAGCATACAAACCTGTGAACCTGCCACCTTTCAAAACACAAACCAACTTTTATCGCTATCACCTGCACCACCTGCAGGAAAGAAAAGTAATAGCAGCTGCAATGTATCTCGATGTTCAGCAGTAGAAATTTAAGGTCGCCATCTACAGGCAAAGAAAGCTGTGTGTGTTGTTTCATGTGTCACACTAACCTCCAGAAGTACAATTAATCTTGTGGCTAAAAATGCCAAATGCCAAAGATTTAATAGGAGGGTATAAATAATTTTTTTCTACTTCTAAATATCATCAAGCTTTCTCAGACCTTACACTGTGTTTTTTCCTCCTTTTGGACAAATCTGGTTAGGACCATCTCATACCTGGAATACACACAATGACCACCTCCTCACTTTTATTGAAATAAGTATTTGCTTTGTTCTCTTACTGCCCTGCCTCCATAGTGCAGGTGAGAGAAGATCTGGGTTGATAAAAATGTTGATGTGCTTATTTGAGTCACCTTCCGTTATTACTGTATGCTCAGCAGTGAGTGGAGCAGAGCAGAGTACTTTGTGGACTTTCTTTTGCCCTGGGTTTCGCCTCTCGTGCCACATGCAGCAGCTGCCCTATCTATCTTATTGGTGAAGGTCGGTGGGGTTGTATGTAGCCTGAAAACAATTCCTGCACACACTAATTGGGGCTGAAGAAAGAAAAAATACAAAACTTTCACATTTTACAGGTTTCAATGTAAAATCTACAACCTTAAAGACACATAATTCACAAACAGCAGCCACTGTTCATACAAGGGGAAAACACTCTGCCTGCTGATGGAAAAAGTGTCAAAATCAAAGAAGCGATTATTTTCCAAGGCAAACATTAGCGCGTCAGGATCTGCTTGTCTAAAAGCTAACCTTGGTCATATTCTGTATTTTTATTATCAAGTCAAATGAAAAGACCGAAACCAACAATTAATTTATTCTACTAATATGTATTGC